GGCCCCCAGTGTGGAGAAAATTTTTTCCAGGAGGGGGGTATCAGCCCCCTTCAGCCCTGAGGGGCCCAGCCCTCTCAGAAGGGGCAAGCGTCTTGTTTACTGCTACAGTGAGTAATTGATCACAGATGCCGTACGAGTATGCGACGTGGTCAAGTGACCCCCGCTCCTTGCAGTGTGCGAGTGTATTTTAATAAGAGACAGTGCATCTCTTACTTTTGCAGGGCAATTAAGGAAAATCCGCTCCCACTTTATTACCATGGTAAAGATAGTGGACATTGTTGTCTATGCTTAAGACAGCAAGAATCCAAAAATTCTGCTTTGCTTCATTGAGGAAGTGGCAAGAAGCAAAAGTACTATGTCAGCTTTTTTTTTTTTTGCTAGGGGAGTAACGCGTGGGCGCCCGTGGCGTCTTCAGATTACTTTTGACTCTACTGAGAGGAAAACTGACGCAGGATAACCAACAAAGAACACTGATCTGTGCGTTAGTGTGAACAAAGTGTCCCCACAAAAAAACAATAAACACTTAAGAGAAGTGTGATCAGCTTTTAGAGATAAGATTGTGAACAATAAAACAATCTTTTTGGAAAATAGTGTACCAGTGTGCGTATTCCTAGACTATGGAAGACAGGAATCCAAGGACACTTCACTTCAATCAAGTCACCGTATCCCGTCGAAGGTGTGAAGAACACCATAGCTCACGCTACAAGAGCAAGGTAGGTTACGAATTTCTTGTAGTACGGGGGGCTGCGCAGTTCTTGAGTCGCAAGGAGTTTGTAATCAACCTATAGTCGGCAGTAAGGTGCGGACTTTTGAGTCCAAACAAGTATGTAATTTGTTCACCATCATGAATGAAATATGCTGACCAATAAACCCCCTAGGGGTAATTTTATAATCTTACAAATTAAACTCTTTACAGCCCCGTTGAAGAATGACTTCGACACTTCTCAAGACCTTCTGCGGGGCGGCTGTGCAGGCGATGAGCTGTCTTTCTAAGTTACGTACAAACTATTTAAACTTAACTGGTAATGCCATTTCTCAACAACACACAACAGAACACTGCAACACCACTGGCACTACCTACATACTACATCACACACAACAAAAACACTGGGAACACCACTGGCACTACCTACATACTATCATCACACACAACAGAACACTGCAACAACACTGGCACTACCTACATACAATCACACACAACAGAACAACAATAACAACAACAACACTGGCACTACTTACACACAACGAACACAAAACAACAACAACAACACTGGCACTACTCACACACAACACAACAAAAACAACACTGGCACTACTCACACACAACAACAACAACACTGGCACTGTTGAAGATTGAACACTTATCAACATTTGGGAATCTTTTTTCAGGAAAAGTTTTGCCCCCACAGTGGCTTCATCATCCAATACAAAGTAGAAAGGTGTAAGGAGAGAAGGAGTTTGAGGGAATCAGTCCCCTCAGCCTGGAGTCGATGTGTACAGTCCATCAATCTTCTAGAATGTACAGCATAGGGCCGTAGACGTGGCTTAAAATACTGTAGTGAGGTGAGGTGAAGCAGGAGGAGTGGGTCATAGTGGTACCATCCACTAATCAAGTAGGTCTTCGTCCAAAGGTTGGACAAGTGTTGAAGAATTCTTTGTAACAAGATCCCATGATGCTGCAGTGTCTGACGTTGTGATTTAATGGCTTGAAAAAACCGACAAGTTGAAGATTGAGACCTACTTTGACTAGTGGATGGTACCACTAGACCCCACCTCCTCCTGCTTCACCTCCTCACTACAGTACATAAGCCATGTCTACAGCTCTATGCTGTACATTCTACAAGATTGATGGACTGTACCATCGACTCCAGGGTGAGGGACTGATTACCTCAAATCCTCCTCTCCTTGCGCCTTTAACTTGTATTGGACTGATGAAGCCACTGTGTGACGAAACGTTTCCTGAATAAAGATTTCCCCAAAAGTTGCATAATGTCTCAATCTTCAAATTGTCGGTTTTTCAAACCATTCATCACAACACTGGCACTATCACACACAACAGTTTGTTTGGTAGAAATTGGTACACAAAATATAAATTTATTACTTTTTTTTTTTTTTCAACAAACTGGCCATTCCCACTGAAGTACGGCAGCCAAAAAAGAAAAACAAAATTTTTTTTATTTTTTTTTTTAACTTTATTAACGTACACAGAAGAAGGGGTTACTACCCTCTTGCTCCTGGCGTTTGTTGCCTCTTATGACATATATGGCTTACGGAGGAAGAATTCTGTTCCACTTCCCCATGGAGATAAGAGAAAATAAACAAGAACAAGAACTAGTAAGAAAATAAAAGAAAACCCAGAGGGGTGTGTATATATATGCTTGTACATGTATGTGTAGTGTGACCTAAGTGTAAGTAGAAGTAGCAAGGCACACCTGAAATCTTGCATGTTTATGAGACAGAAAAGACACCAGCAATCCTACCATCATGCAAAACAATTACAGTCTTTTGTTTCACACTCACTTGACAGGATGGTAGTACCTCCCTGGGCAGCTGCTGTCTACCAACCTACTACCAAGGAAATTTATTATTTATGTTGTATTCTTTGTGGGCAGTAATCCCCATGTGGTACATGTCAATAACTGGTGGGGAAGCAAGAGAGAATGGGTGATGGTTAGGGAACAAGCAAGTGTCTCCTCTACTAAACCTGGCTACCTCTACTATACTATCTCTTCCATGCAGTTACCTTAAACTCTACTCCCTACACCATGATAAACCAAACAATATTATTTATATTATCCTATTCAGCCATAATGTGCATTTCATATTAACAACTTAAAAGATACAAAATATTGGTTAGTCTTGGGGCAGTGAACAGTAACTAATCTAGCAACTGTGTAGTGATGAGTTCTCATAAACACACTGAGGCAAGAATGAATTTCCCACTACATTCTGGGATTTGATGTGTGTTTGGTTATGGTGGACGTAGTACACCTGGTTAGGCTTCATGAGCACATCCAGGGCTTACTGCTGCCGACCACTACAAATAAAATATAAAACTTATTTGAATATTTAAGATGGAAAATGATTAACAAGTGTAGTTTTGCCCCTGATGTACCAAAGTAGAAATCAACTTTTGAAAAGCATTACTCATGAATAAATAAATCCCATTATTACAATAATAACCAAGAAAAATGCTAAACCTGATAAGGTCACCCAAGTACATACATATTTGGTAGAGCGTGATCCACAAGTGTAGACCAGGTGTGTTGGCTGGTGGAACACTCATGTCTTGTATATAGTATATGATTAAGGTGCAGATGCTCAGGTATATTACTCACACCAACGCCCCACTACACTGTTACTCTGATACAAGCTTACACTACATTACTCACTCATACCCATTATTACATTATGGAAAGAGCTAAACCCATAAGGGTGATGCAATGCTGCAGAGCAAAGAGAAGAGAGATTGTGAGGGAGAGATTGAGTGATGAGGGAAAAACACTGATTCAAGTGATGGTTACAAGTGATAAAGAAGCAATTAGGGAAACAAAGACAATGTCTATTGTTAAGGTGGGGCTTTCAGAGGAGGTAGAGACAAGTGTGTCAGAGCAGAGCAGGTGTCTGAAATGAAGGTTTGGTAAGGTAAGGTCTGTCAGGAAACAAGACAAGTGTTTCCTGATGTGGATCTTAGTCATATGATGATCTGCAGCTGGAGCCTTTGGTCATCTGACTGAGACCTTCCACTGGCTTACCCCTCCACCCCTTTAAAAATTATGAAATTAGATTCATATTCTTCCTGTTTCAAATGAAATTAAATTATTCTCTTATATACCAAACAAGTGATTAACACATGTTGAACTGTAAGAGTGACCTGGTATTATGACACTGGTACAGTATTAACACATGTTGAACTGAAAGAGTGACCTGGTATTATGACAATGGTACAGTATTAACACATGTTGAACTGTAAGAGTGACCTGGTATTATGACAATGGTACAGTATTAACACATGTTGAACTGTAAGAGTGACCTGGTATTATGACAATGGTACAGTATTAACACATGTTGAACTGTAAGAGTGACCTGGTATCATGACAATGGTACAGTATTAGCACATGATGAACTGTAAGAGTGACCTGGTATCATGACAATGGTACAGTATTAACAGACGATGAACTGTAAGAGCGACCTGGTATCATAACAATGCTACAGTATTTACATATGATGAACTGTAGGAGTGACCTGGTATCATGACAATGGTAAAGTATTAAGACATGTTCAACTGTATATCATCTGGCACCATAACAAACATACAGTATTTTTAATTTCATTACTAGAAAAAATAAATGAATCAGACAGGAAATATTTGTTTGGTAGAGATAGTAAATTTTAGGCCAATTACTGTACCATCAAAACTCACCAATACCCAGTGATACCGGTACTGTGGCACACCCTTACTGTCTGGGACCACAAAACTCACCAATACCCAGTGATACTGGTACTGTGGCACACCCTTACTGTCTGGGACCACAAAACTCACCAATACCCAGTGATACCGGTACTGTGGCACACCCTTACTGTCTGGGACCACAAAACTCACCAATACCCAGTGATACCAGTACTGTGGCACACCCTTACTGTCTGGGACCACAAAACTCACCAATACCCAGTGATACCAGTACTGTGGCACACCCTTACTGTCTGGGACCACAAAACTCACCAATACCCAGTGATACCAGTACTGTGGCACACCCTTACTGTCTGGGACCACACTTCCTACTATAACATGGGTTTCTATAAGAAACTAGGTTCTGAGTTCCAAATACTTGAGTAATGAATGATTTTCAGAACTATCTCATTACTTGAAAATAACCTGAATCATCTTTATGAAAATTTTCAACACGCTGAGTAAGTTCTATGTTTTATGCTGTATATTTTTAGATAGGTGAATTTACTGGAACTCCAGGAGGTATCTGAAGTAAGGGTGTGCTAAAGTATTGGCTAATTCCGATGGCATTGGTAATAGCCCAAAACTGATTATCTGTAGTGTAATTTTTTTTTTTTTAAATCATAGCATCACTAATGTGAGCAACACATATATCTTATCTTCCCCAGAGATTATTCCCAGTGTAAGACAAGTGCCTGTTGTGACTTATAAAACTTTAAAAAAAACCTTACCAAAATAAATTATGCTCTGAGGACGGATACCGCACATACATTATAATATTAATGGGCAACTGCTAAATTCTCATTTGAAGACAATTTACCATGAAGATATTTTTGGAGTTTTTAAGAAATCCTATTTAATGAAAAGATTAAGAGCTTAAAAATGGATGAGATAATGCGTCTTCGGCAGTAATACGTGTTTCTGGATTGGGATCCAGAAGCCTCAGTAGTAAGTGATACACCAGAGGTGGATACACAACTTCTGCACGATGAGTAAAGTGCACACTCTCAACTGGAGGTTCACCTGCAGCATCTGGGAAAAGTCCTCGATGCAGTTCCTCCACCACCAATTTTTCTGCTAATTGTTTTTGAAGGTCTTTTTCACATGGTTGGGCATCCACTTTCTTGCCACACTGCTGACTGTGAGCATCTAGTGATGCCACTTTGTTTATAGACGATATCAAACTGTCTCTTGAATGAAGAGGAAAATAGAATTCTGGTGTCATTTGATTCATCTGACCTTTAGTTCTTTTTTTACCTGGTGACACACAGGAGGAGCCTGAGAGCACTGAGCCCTTTTTCTGTACATCTGAAACATGAATTTGTGTTCGTTTCTTACTGGTATGTCCTGAACCTTGTGAAAATGTGCCTGATTTTGTAGGAGGTATGAGGCATACACATGCACCTCGCTGGAAGCAGTCAGTACATTGTTCGAGTTTGGCATTGGCACCGGCGCTCACCAAAGTATCGTTGCGAAGAATTTCACATACTTTCATGAGGTCAAGCGGCTTTCTATCTTCACTGCATGTAAGCAACTTTCCTGCAAATAAACAATGAAATATTAGTAGTATACACTTTTTCTTTGGGTCACCCTGCCTTGGTGAAAGATGACCATTGTGTTAAAATTTAAACCTCACATGATAAGCACATTCAAAATTACAGGAGGATATTCAAATGACAGAGGATGGGTTACTGAAGTTATTTGGATATATAAAGACAATGCCATGGGAAAGTGGGAAAGAATCTTTCCTCCATAAGCCATGAGTGTTGTAAGAGGCAACTAAACCAGTAACTGGTTTCATTAATAGTATGAACAATTCACTACTCACCAGCTATAACTAAACCAACAAGGCTAAATGAGACGAGTGCAACCATAATTGACCATATATGGACAAATATACTAGCTTCCCTCAAATCAGGGATAATCACACACAACACTACTGACCACTACCCAGCCTTCCTCCTAACATTTCTAAGCAACTATTGGAATATAGTAAGATCTCTTTTTGACTCCATGATGAGACATCAATGAATAACTTCACTGCAGTGTTAACCTCAATCAGGTCCTGCTTTGCCTCACCTCACTACAGTATGTAAGCCACGTCTATGGCCCTATACTGTACATTCTACAAGATTGATGGACTGAACACATTGAGTCCAGGCTGAGGGACTGATTACCTCAGACTCCTCTCCTTATACCTTTCTGCTTTGTACTGGACTGATGAAGCCACTGTGTGGCGAAACGTTTCTTCAATAAAGATTCCCATATGATGCATAAGTGTCTCAATTCTTCATGACGGTTTTACCTGACAAGCCATTTTCAGGAACATAACTACCATGTTAAATGATGGTCTACTGTATTCCATTTTCAAAATAGGGTCCAGAATAAACAATGCAGGCATTCCTGGCACTAAAATAACATTTACTCTGTTTATTAGTTATGTTTCCAGGCTTTACAGACAAATTCCATTTTGATATTTTATTCACAATTTTTATTCAGTACGCTGAGGTCAGTGGTCAGTACACTGAGGTCAGTGGTCACATGTGGTCATACTTGCCTAAGTTCTTGGGAGTTAGCATGGGGTGTTACCAAGCATGGCTTGTTGTAGTGTTCTAGAATCTCAGGTTCAAGTGTTGAAGGAGGTTCTACTTCTTCAGGAGGAAAATAGGAGGCTGAAGCTTTGCAAAGATGAGTTTGGGAGTGTGTGAGATGGATTTAGCTGGTAAGGAGGAAATGGTCACCAGCAGTGATAGTGGCAGCCGCTTTAAGTGGCAAGTGGTTCACAGTTTAGGAAGAAGGAAGAAACGGAGGGTTAACAGAGAAGATGTGGAGGTAGGAAAACGATTCTCTGTTCTCCAGGACAAGTGTACGTCAGTGGTTAGTAAGGTTGAAGGTACCACTGATTCCCCTGCTAATCAAGGTGAGAATATTCTAATTGTAGGAGATTCTCAGGTAAGATTGTGAGGGAAAAGTTCAACAGATAGGAGTAGCGAGTGAATATATGACAACGATAGTTTGATTGGCAGTCTGCTTGTTAAGGTAGGGTCAGTGTCTAGCTCCCGCTATCCCTCCCCCTCCCTTTCTCCACACTGAAAGGCAATGTGTGGGACTCTTGACTCGCAGCTCCCAACATATCTGTAAGTGAAATGCCTCTGCTCCTGTTTTATTTAATTAGTTAAAAGCTTCACTTTTATCTAATCTTGAGACTTAGTTCATCCTGCCTTGACTTTCATGTTTAAAAATCTTGTCTTTAAATCCTTACCATTCTTTTAAATGCCTTACACTTCTCATGGAGAGTGATTTGTCAAGCAGTGGTTAACTTTTGTCTCTAGCTCGGACTGCCAGCTAGGGTCGTCTGGCGACTACAGAGAGAGTTTGAAGGAGAGGAACCTAACCAGGTTAAGAGACATCACCCACGATCTACGTACCATATTGTAGCTACACCCAGGCAGCTACCCCTCATCTCTGCAGTGGTGACAGACCTGCGTTCCTATCATCTTGACGGATCATTCAAGGGTAGACATACTGTGAATGAATAATCATTGGGTTGTCACTCACCAGCTGTGACCCCCCCACATCATCAGCAATGGCTACATTGTCTACAATGCACTGTGTCAACAACATTGACATGATCTACCATTCCACCTCTACAAATTAGCATTGAATTCAATTATCATTTTTTTTCTATTTCGCTTTTCATTTTTCTTTCAAATAGGATAAAAGCTCATGTTAAAGTGTTTTACATTTTCAATTCTTACAATAAAATGTTTATATTTGTGTGTTATTGTTATTTTTTCTATTATTTCTTTTCCTGAGGAGGAGCCAGCCTTGATAATACTAACATAACAGGGTTGAGTAAGCCTTCACAAGTGGCGCCCTTGCAAAGATACTCAACTGGATCAAGATTCGACTCCATCTCAAATCTACCATTGGAACTTCAATGCTGCATACCACAGATGGTTACCACCAGCCATGAGTAATCATTCTCTATGGTAGGACTACAGTACAGGTATTTAAAAGATTTGGTGATTGTAAGTCAAGTCAGGGCAGGATATATACTAGTTAATTCTGCCACCTTTGTTTTTGAGCTTGAAGCGATTTGGAGGAATAGACACTAGGGACCCGAGATTTTCCAGTGACAAGTTACTTCATTGAGCTTTATTTATTATATAAAGGGAACTGTTGTAGGACACTCTTGATTTGTTGGTGAGAAGATTGGATAGTCAAGGGACCCCATTCAACTTACTGTTTGGTCGGAGCCGGCATAGAACCCTCCGTTTTCCTTCATACATACTGTTTAATCGAAGCAGGGATCGAACCCTCTAATTTATTTACAGTTTCAGTGGAGCAGGAATTGAACCCTCCATTTTCTTTGATATCCGTTTCATTTTCATTTACAAGTATGGAGAAATACCAGTTTTGGACAAACGCTGGGAGTAAGTTAGGAATAACAGGGAAAAATTTAGAAGCTTTCATTAGCACTAAGATCCAGGAAAGAATTGAGAGAGAGAGAGAGAGAGAGAGAGGAAAAGAGGAGAGAGAGAGAGGAGAGAGGAGAGAGAAGAAGAGAGAGAGAGAGAGAAGAGAGGAGAGAAGGAGAGGGGAGAGAGAGAGGAGAGAGAGAAGGAAGAGAGAGAGAGAGAGAGAAGAGAGGGAGAGAGAAAGAGAGAGAGAGAGAGAGAGAGGAGGAGAGAGAGAGAGAGGGAGAGGAGAGAGAGTGGGAGGAGAGAGAGGAGAGGAGAGAGAGAGAGAGAGAGAGAGAGGAGGAGAGAGAGAGAGAGGAGAGAGAGGAGAGAGAGAGGAGAGAGAGAGAGAGAGAGAGAGAGAGAGGAGAGAGAGAGAGGGGAGAGGGGAGAGAGAGAGAGAGAGAGAGAGAGAGAGAGAGAGGAGAGAGAGAGGAGAGAGAGAGGGAGGAGAGGAGAGAGGAGAGAGAGAGAGAGGAAGAGAGGAGAGAGAGAGGAGAGAGAGAAGAGGAGAGAGAGAGGGGGAGAGAGAGGAGAGGAGAGAGAGGAGAGGAGAGAGAGGAGAGGAGGGGAGAGGAGAGGAGAGAGGGGAAAGAGGAGAGGAGAGGAGGGGAGAGGAGGAGGAGAGGAGAGAGAGAGAGGAGGGAGAGAGAGAGAGGAGAGTAGAGAGAGGAGAGGAAGAGAGAGAGAGAGAGAGAGAGAGAGAGAGAGAGAGAGGGGGGGGGGGGAGTCCACACGCACAACCTGGCTATGGGAAAGAGGTAATTGGCCAGCCCTTTGCTCTGAGCTCGCCCCCAAACCGACTGGAATGCTCTTCTCCAGGGGGATGTTGACAACCAAGTGAAAGCCTTCACTGGACACATCCTTAATCTGCAACAAGAACACATTCCTCACCGGCAATATGTGACAAAGCCTACAGATCAGCCTTGGTTTGGCTTTCGTTGTAGAGAGGCTGCTACTGCTAAGTACAAAGCATGGCGAAGGTATAAGAGACATCCTACCACCTATAACAGGAACTTGCACATGCAAGCCTGTAGGCATATGGGTGATGTTCAAAAGTGGGCCATTGCTAAATGGGAGGTGGACACTAAAAGAAGTTAGCATCAGGTAGGGTAGGCTCCAAAACCTGGTGGTCCCTGGTCAAGGACAGACAAGGTTATCTGCCTGATGAACTTATTCCACCTCTAAATCGACAGGATGGGACCACCTCTACTAGTAGTCAAGAGAAGGCGGACCTCTTTGCTGAACACTTTGCTACCAAAATGCAAGTTCCTGATCCAGCAAGGGACCCTCCTTGGCTAGCTGCAAGAACTGTGTCAAAACTGTCAGTGGTGACAATAAGGCAGGAGGAGGTGCATTTCCTTCTTAAATCACTTGACCAAGAAAAGGCTGTGGGCCCAGACAAGTTGAGCCCAAGATTGTTGAGAAGATGTGCAGACCAGCTAGCAGCACCTCTAACTCGCATCTTTCAGCACTGCCTAGTACAGTGTAAATGGCCCTCTCCATGGAAAGAGGCAAATGTAGTCCCTGTTCACAAAAAGAAGAGCAGAGCAGAAATCAGCAACTACAGACCAGTGTCACTCCTGTCAATCACTGGTAAGATCCTTGAGACAATAATCTCAAGACAAATGACAGATTTTTTTGACTACCACTCACTACTTTGTGATCGTCAATATGGCTTCAGGAAAGGTTACTCTGCTGCTGATCTGTTGTTAAACCTCTCCACTAAGTGGCACCAGTCACTGGATGAATCCAAAGTCAGCTGTGTGGTAGCACTGGACATTGCTGGCGCTTTCGACTGGGTGTGGCACCAGGGCCTCTTAGCAAAACTTCAAGCACTGGGAATTGCAGGCTCTACGCTATGTCTCCTCAGTGATTACCTTCATGGTAGATCTCTAAGTGTAGTCCTCAATGGAATGGAATCAGCAAGGCATCCTATTGGGGCAAGCGTTCCACAAGGAAGCGTGCTGGGTCCACTGTTATGGAATGTCTACTTCAACGACCTTCTTCATCTCATCCCAGAATCACATGCATATGCAGACGACTGTACACTGACATTCACTTATCCAAGAGAAG